TCCTGCCCCAGAGTTGAGAATAACGAAAAGAAAACTTACATCTGCTCTCTTTCCGGCATTTTTAAACGATGTCAAACGGGACTCCTTTGAGTCAAACATCGTCGGCTGGAGGAAATGTAAAAGCGCGACCCGCGGTACCGACGCCCGAGGCTCTTTAAAACAGAACCCGATTATTGTCGCTGGTCCGAAGTAATGCTTCCAATACAAGAGTTTTATACCATACATCTTTTCCTTCGGTTATATTATTCCCTAAGGGCACCAAATTTGTACGAATTCATTCGCATGATCAATCGCGCGTGATCCAAATTTTTCACAGCGCCACTTCGTTTCTTCCGATTACCTCCTGTTCAATAGTTCCTTATACCATCCTCCTTCCATAGGAATGCTTTAGCCGTGTACTACCAAGTTCCGTAAAATCCAACACAGATCCGCTCACAGAACATGGAGATCAAGCGCAACAAGCTCAGCTGCGTTGTGTCCACTGGGTATCAGTCACTTACGATGTGTATAAGCTAATCCGAGTGGCTCCGTGAGAATCACGCCGGCCTCTCAGTGGAGCATTATTTTATACTTGGTAATTGTCCGTTTTTGCCGACGTGTCTTCTGTATCACAGCGGTGCGCCCATATTTACATTCGAGCTCTCTCGTCCTCCTCCTGTTCACCACCCTCCACATCCGTCAAACCCGATCCTCCACGGCCAGCCCTAACCCTAACGGTTGAAACTCTGATAACAGGTTTTGCGATTTTGTTATTGGACACCTCATGGTTTGTTGAGTCTCCTCATGAAGTGTGTCTTCCTGATATTGATAGGTTTCTTGGACATTATTGTCATTAAAATCCGCCGATAGTCGCGGTAAATAGTTTTTATTGACCGGGTTGTTGCCCAAATTGGGAGCGCAGTTGTGATTGTACTGAACACAATGAAGCACTGTTATTTATTGTACGCTTCATGGGAGTTTCGGGAATTTGTACAGCGAAAAACAATTCACAGGTAATTCCGTTTTCTATATTCTTTTTGAGGTTCCTCGAGTACACGAGCTCCGACGGCAGTCGTTGTCAGTTTTCACGTTTGCCAGTTTTGCCAGTTTTGACGGCAAGCGCATCTTCCGAGGGTTTTGTCACTTCTTTTCCTAACACTTGGAGTTGTCGCCGAGCTGAAGTAACCAACAGCATACCCTCACGACCCATCATTCCGCCAAAACTCGAATGTGTAAGTTCGCTGCGTTCCACGAAACGGAGATTCACTAGTGCTGTCAGCGCTACCGTATGGATCCTACAAAATGTTTTAATTTATACCCCTCATTACCATCAAGAGTAGACATATATACGTTTTTTACAAAAAGCGAATCTGCGTAATTCCCACAAGCCGGCAGTTAGAGAGTTGTGGCTGCACGAAGCCTGTAAATGCACATTACCGGCCATTCCTTCCTCCGCACCTTGGAGGACAATAGCGCCAGTCCCCGCGACTTGCGCAGTAGGTTGAATGTTTTGTTAGCACTTACAAATTAGCACTTTCATCCAAATCTCGCGAAGTGCTGCCTTTCAAATGCGCCAAGTCCATCAGTTTCGCCCCGGGAAGCAAATTACTTTTTGGCCGGCTAATGTCACCACACATTTTACCGTGATCGGCATCCTTGGAAAGATTAGTAACGGCAACTTACATCTTTCTGATCTCTTGAACTGGCTCATGGGCCAACCAAAAGCAAGAACCAACTTGACCACATTGAAATCAATGTTCATATTTTCCAGCGTGAAAAAATATTCGCTTGGTTTGCATCCTTCAAGGACACAACATTCTCCTGTCACGGCATCAGAGACCCGTTAGCATTCCTTCATTTTTCGCTTGCGCGTATGTTCACAAATACCGTATTCGTCCAAAAATTGGCGCCGCCGAAATTTGTCGGTGATGTAAATACGTAAGTAAATGAACTAATATCCCATTAGAGCGGCTTATGCCCCCGGGTTTGCCGTGATGATCCCAGCCCCATTTACTCGTTTTAAAAAACGTTAACCTGCCCATCGGCCATTCCTAAAACGCTAATGAGCTTAGGTATAGAAAGCACACTGTCGTCAATTCATTCATCTTGCAGAGACTATATGAGGTAAAAATTACGTAAGATTTTGTGGCACAATTGCTGAGACCAAACTTATCAAATGATGTAGTAAACTGATTTGCTGAGATAGACGACACTGCGAGGTATGGTTGTGAAGCAAACCGTCGAATACAGGTTCCGCAACTTTACTCTTTGCCCCGATCTTTCGCCATGAATTACAGCACCTTACCATCCTAAGGGAGGTTGTTTTCCTTTCTCCAAATTTTCAGTTTGCGGCTCGTGACCCTCAGAACTCGCGTTCTCATACATCTAAACATTGCGCCGGCGGGTTCGACCAGGCTACACAAAACACCATTAGTTACCCTTCCCACCTTTCCTTTATCGCAAATTAAGGAGCGTACGAGTTGAAAAAAAGCCTGTCTTCGTATCCTTAGTTACACTCGTAGAGACAGATCAGAAATATTCCTCCCACTTGCCTTGCTTCCGGCGACCTCTTAGGACAAATCGTAGTCCTTTAATTGCCACGAATATGATCATCCGCATTTTAATTCATCCCTTCATAACAGTATATGTCCCTGTTGTCGTCTCTCTGTGCTTTTCCATTACATGTATACAGCTTTTTCCACACGAAATCAAACATGCCAAATAGAGCGTTCTTCAGTTTTATCAGCCAGCTGATCACTTAGTGATGCCTGACTACCCATAAATTTTGATGCTTTTTTAAGCTGACGAAGTGTCCTCGTTTGTTACGTCGCGTTACACTATGCTTTCAGCTTATCACCTTCCTTGTGCTGCTGATGACTTCACCGTTCCCCTTAATTCAGATCGTTTTGAACAACTTTGTCTGATCTGCACCCTCCCTCCCTGGTTAGATGAATACAATCCAATCGCCAAAAATGTAGGTAGATGGTTGTTCGCCCTATGCTGCTCTTCATATAAAGATAAAACTCTTTTGACTATACGCACGATACACGTTGCACTCAAACAGTCAATTATCCAGGATTTGTACTGCCCCTGCTTTAAGGGTGCAACACTCACGGTGGTGGCCTGACAAGTGTGTTCAGCTTGACAACTTTGAAGACGTTTTTCACTTTTTTCGTTTCCTTTCTGTGTCGATTCCCAGTTTTAAATGGAAACCTCATCAGAACGCCATTTCTCCCGGAGCCAAACATAAACATCACCCCAGAGACAGGAATTACATCAGTGCCTGTTAGTGCGCAGGTTGTGATTAAATTCATTTTGCGTGGTACATCGGACGCAATGGTAGATCCTTCCGAGTAGTTTTAGGATCGGCTAGGCGTTTTTTGAAGAAGTTTGTGTTTGTTTGGCCTTGCGGGTAAACATAAAGTGGCCGCGCCGTCTTCATTCAGGATGCTTTCTGTGACGGTCACTAACTGCCACCTGTGAGTCAACCGGTTTTCAGGTTCACGTCAGCGACATTTTTAGCTGTTCAAAGGGTGCGATTAGGCGTTTTAACCCCTTCGTATCGTCCATATTTTTGAGATTTGGAATTTCCCACGCTTCCTTCTGTGTCCGTTTGTAAACCCCGCTCTACTCTCATCTTTTGTGCGTGTAGATGAACTGGCGCTCGTTTGTCCTTACCACTTCACTTGTTTTGCCTTGATATCATCAGCCGCTTTGTGGCTGACCTTATACACGTGTAACCGTATCGCGTATGAGCCTGTTTGATAATTTGTTTCGTACTTTTAATCTGACTGGACCATTTGTTGTGGACGAGTATCCAGATTCGTATGTTCTGTGAATTCATCTTACATTAGTAGTACCATGTATAAATCCAGCTCCGACATTGTTTTGCCTTCCCAGAGGTTCTGGCGTTAGGTCCCTCAAAGATACCGTGTGCTTGTTACATCCTTCTGACCCTGCACTTTGATCTGTGTAAACGTTGTCTACTCGGCAGAATGAACTCTCCTGCTAGGCTTCGACAAGGCGCATAAATCCTCCATGGCGAAGCAAGTCCCGCAGCACCTTTTACCAACGTTGGCGGATTGTGTACATGTGCGTTAGCATGGACAGGGCTCTTTGCTACTGCAACATACGGAGCCACCTTTAACTAAGCTTTCCCCGTGGTCGTATTAGGTGACCCAGTCACTCTAAAAGACAACGGACACCTCCCAGTAAAGTGGACTTCATGGTTTGGGTGGTGTTAATTACGTGACGCAATTATTTGTTTCCCTATTCCTCAGGCTAGTTCATCATCCTTCCGTGACTGCTCAAGTTTCAAGACTGAACCGTTCTGATTTATACAAAGCTGACTCTACCTCAACCGTTTTCCATAGACAATTTGTTTACATTTATTTTTGAACTTTTTGTTGAAATTTTGTCGCACTTTGAACTTAACAACAGTTTTCCCGCGTAATTTGTCCGATAGCACACTGCAATATGCGCGCTTTGGGAGCATCAGGGGACAATTATTCTCCGAAGGCAGGTGTTCACGACAATTTCTGTGGATAGAAAACAGAGACAAAGCTCATGATCCAAAGCCCAGTAAGCAAGGTTGTGCATCACCAATACTTACATATGAATCAATCAAACTGACACCGTATACTACACACACTACCCTTCGTGTGCCATCCTATGTTGCTAACTGCCCAAGGTTCAATCTAGCCGTAAGCCTTTCTTTAATTCTCCCCACGGTTTACTGGTAAACCCCTATAGAGCCACGGTCTCCCTATCTATACTCTTTGCCCAAGCCCAATTCAATATATTGTCCACTGCCCAATTGCGACTACTGAACAAACGCAGGCAAAGTTCGTAAAGTTCGGTTTCGCCGCAATTACTACTGACCGTCCGTTGGTGAATTAGTCTACACGCTACCTGTCAGATAGGACACCTGGATCGTGCGTTTAGACTAAGCAACCTATTCCTTGCTTTGAGATCACGGCCTTAGCACAGGATCACGCGGGTGGTTTTAGCACTTCCGCTCATAGGCGTTTGACGCTTAATAGATCTGAGACCCTTGGGTCAAGTGTCCCATCGCTGCGGTTTAAAAGTAGCCCGGTAGCACCAAAAAACACACCACGGGAGACGCTGGTTAACCGAACAAAGAAACCATGAATCACAAAATATTCACT